CTTACCATGCACGTACATATAGTTTCCATGGGCTCCCCTCATAGTCTTTATCTATTATGTCATGGGCTCCCCTCATGGTCTTTATCTATTATGTCATGGGCTCCCCTCATGGTCTTTACCTGAAATACCATGGGGTTTCTGTAACGCCCGCAGATTCTGCCTAGTCAATTTGGAGACGATAAGCGTCAAAAAATGACTTTTTGATAGAAGATTATTTAGAATAAATAATCTTAACGAAGTTATAGTATATGTCACAAGGATTTCGTACATATAAAGAACGTTGAAATCCGATTTATATCGAAGAATTCATGACCCGTCGAATTTTTACAGCTAAATTGGCATGGTACCGCGTAATGTAAAAATGAATTTTTGACAACTAGCCTTAAAAATATAAATGAAAGTTGTAGTATACGTTAAACCGAACACGTGCATAAAAAGAACGTCAAAATCTGACTTCGTATGAGGAATTTATGATTTTTCTAAGATTTTGTATAGCAGTATACAGCCCGAAATTCGAATTTCATATCGAGCGCTTTTTAGCTGACACAACATAAATGAGAATTTAATATCTCATTAATAGGAGTTCAACGATAAAAGACAGACAAAAACAGAGTTTGTATATAAAAGTTATGAAGATTACACGGTCGTTTAACAATATAATCTTCTCATACTGTTAAATTTAAAATCGATAGAGAATTAGCTGACGGAGTCAAAAAAAAAAAAAAAAAAAAAAAAAAAAAGAGTTGTAGATCTTGTCAATACCTACATGTGGATATAAAGAACATCAAATACGGAGCTTGTATGCAAAAGTTACGGGGTTTAAAAGTCAGCAGAGTGCTGCGAAGAGGGTGACGTGGCTGAATCTGGGCCATTGCTTTCTCCCCAAGCCTTGCCACCAGAGGGTGACATGTGGCACCAACTCAAGGAGTTTAGCAGTATTTCAGCCTATAAATACCTTGCGATGTTACCTTCATTTCTCACACCAAAACCCACTTTTCTCTCACCATAACTTCTCTCTAAACCTCCCAAAACCCCTCTAAAGCCCTAGTAACCTCAAGGTGCTAGAGGAAAGCCCCGAAGGCCCCCGAAGGCTCCAAGAAAAAGAGCTTTTCGGCTCAGAAGCTCTGCTCCAGCGGGGTCCAGTTTTAAGCAAAATCTGCTATAAGTGAGATACGCCTACAATACTTTAAATATAGCTTATATTTAAATATAATATTGTTATTATGAACCTATAAATAGGATTTATCAATATTCCAAGTCGTTATATTGATTGATCTACTTACGAGGATGATGTCTAAGTTGTGATTTAGTGAGGTGCCTAAAGTGGGATTTCTAAATAGTATACTTCGTATACCAAACGAACCCTACCTCTAATATGCTCCTACATGGTTGTTCCGTACTTGATAGATCATGAAAGTAGACTTTGAGTTAATGATGAATATAGACTAATAATTAGTCGCAATAAAGATTAGACTAAAACTTAGCGATAATAGTTCTAGGTGATGAGAATAAATCTCTAGATCGTTTAGATCTTTCACAGGTATATTGATAAAGAACAAACAATTCAATCACAATACGATTAAGAACACAATATGGAATCAATATGAAGCTTATGATTCAAATATAGTCACGCCTCAGCAGAGCTCGATAAAGAACTTCCACTGTAGAGGCGAGCTAGGGTTTACAATACTTTGATGAGAAAATAATTAAAGCGTTACTAACAAAGGATGCATGCATGCACCTTAAATACTAAAACCCTAGAATAAAATAATGCACGGTTGGACAGGCCTAAACCGGCTACAAAATTAGGCTAAGGACCGAGCCCATGACGCAACACTATACAACCCAACAATCTCCCACTTTGCGTCAAATGAGACGAGAGATTATTTATGTTGAGTAGCATTCACAGTCTTCACAACTTTAAACAACCGAGGGATGATAGCAAGAAGAGTCCGCCGAAATTGAATATACCATTGCAACATGTCAATAAACAACTTCTTGTCAGCTGCAAAATTCTGATTACACCTGTGAATGATCTCCAAAATATGCTCCAAGCAAGCAGTTGAGAACAAGTGTTTATCAATAAGAGCGAATAGGCATTTTTGACCTTCGCCCCTAATGAACATTACAGTGTGATATTGTGTGTCAATATTTCCCTTGACCATTGTGTTTATATCGCCAGCTCTTCCCATTGGTTTGATCGTTTTTCGCTTGTGAATGGCAGATGCGATTTCTTGATCCATTTTCGCTACTTCATGAATGTAGCAAACAAGCATTCATTGTGGTCAATAATCGGTTAATAATCATGTGGATTGCATAGCAGAATGTTGTTGAGGAGTATCCAGTTGTGAGATTTAAGGTTTGGAAGATCATCTAGGGAAATGGTATGAACCGAGCTATATGAGCCTCGAGTTACTTTGAATTTGACGTTGACAAATTTCCCGGCTGAATAAGGCTTCAGTACCTTGACAGTAGTAATCTTCTGTGAGCTCCAAGTCAAGTACTGTGGCTGAGCGAATTCCAGATAAAATTCCAACAGATCCCGATCTACCTTCGGGTCCGGAGAGGGAAGGACAGCAGTTGAGTTGAAGCAATGAAATATAAATGCCTTTCGTGTGATTGACATATCAAATTGAGCATCCTTCAAGTTTTCAAGGCCGAACTACATAACCGGTTCGAGCCAAAGAGTACCCGGTTCATCTATAGCATCTTTCTAGAGCGAATCAATGGTCCATTCTGGAAAAATGGACTTCTTTTTATCTAAGAGCTCCTTTTCTTTTAGCTTTTTCTCCAACTTAATTGTTTCCTTTTCAATCTTTTCTGCAAGCTCCTTGTCAGAGGGTTTTGTTTTCTGAAAAGGCTTAGAGGGATTTTCACCCAAGGTATCTTCAAAATCATCATCATCATCATCTACATCACATTCACCAATTTTCTTCTTCTTCTTATCTCGTTTGCTGACCGAAGCTACATTAACCTTCGGTGCAGCTGTTGATTTGGGTTCGGGAGGAGGTTCAGTATTAACCTTTTCCTTTTCCTTTTCTCCCCTTGTTTCGGTTGGACAGAAGTCACCAAAACACCCTCTATCCAACTAAGGATATCCAACGTAGGTGTGAGTTTTTCAGCTAAACGACGTATGATGGATATAGTCATAATAGAGTCATGGGCGTCAAGAAGATTGTAACAACCCGGAATCGCAAGAGTAGAGTTGAAGGGCTAAAAGTGTAAGTTTTAGAGGGTGACTCGACGAGTCCATGGATAGACTCGGCGGGTCAAGTCGCGGCTATGGTCGCGTGTCAAGTGGCCTACTCGGCGAGTCCAAAGATGGACTCGGCGAGTAGGTGCTGTATGGAGAAAACCCTAATTTTC